CCGACCAATAACTTTACATTTGCCTACAGTGCTGTGAGACCAAAGAATGAGGCTAGAAGCCCCAGGTGCTGACATGAATTTATTAAAGGCTTACTGACCAAGGCCCTCCCTGGGCAATGGAATCGAGGTGTCCTCCCCCACCCCCACCCCACCCCAGTGCAAGGCAGGGGTTCTTACAGTTCTGGTGAACAAATGTTGCATGGTTCCAGGGCCCCAGATCTCCAAGGCCACCCTAGCAAGTGTTACATAAGAGTGAGTTAGCAAATAGAGGTGAGCTTGCAGTAAGCACTTATGCATATTTGGCGTTGCAAAAGTCTGTTCCCAGTTGCTTTTTGTTCATTACAGTGGAGGCAGAGTCCTGGTGTGGTGATGCGGATTAATGTGCTAGACTGCAAGTTCATTCAAGTTCACCAGCTGCTCCTCAGAAACCCTATACAGGGTCACTAGGAGTCAGAACCGACTCGAGGGCACTTAACAACACACAACAGTGGAAATAGAATCATGGGAGTAGTTTGGCATTTCAAGTTGCCAGGGTGGAAGGAGACATTGTTTTTGTTTTTTTCCCTAAAGCGGCACCCTCTCCTGTTTGTGGGCTGGCACATTTTTAGAGTAAAGATACTTTGCATAAATAGCATCAGCTATCCAGATGACCTCTGGTAGCGTAGTGGTTACGAATCGGGCTGCGAGCCTTAAGGTCAGCGGTTCGAAACTACCAGCCGCTCCGCGGGAGAAAGATGAGGCTTTCTACTCCCGTAAAGATTTACACCCTCGGAAACCCTGTACAGGGTCGCTATGGGTCGGAACCGACTCGATGGCACTTAACAACAACAACAACATCCAGATGACCTAGACCTTATTCTAGTAAGGGTTTTGTTTATTTTTAAAGAGTGAAAGTACCCACAGAATGGTGCAAAGTGGAAGAGACCACTGAATGGATTTTGATCTAGGTTATGCATCTGGTTTTCCTGATGGTTCCAGTCAAAAAAATACACTCACTTTCCTGTACTGTATGCATATGTGTGGCTGCAGCTCACATGTGTTCATGAAACACAAGACAGTATAAGCTGGACATTCCTTTTAGCAGTTTTTATTGTATGCTTGATGCACTTAGAGACAATTTTGAAGGCAAGCACTGGGTGGGAAAGTTATCCAGATTGTAGATATTGGTACAAAAACTGTTAAGACGACACGGTCAATTCCCACTGCAGGAAACAGACAGACTTTCTTTTTTATGATTCCCTGCAAATAGAATTTCCCAGCTAACACATTTAACTTCTCACAATAGTACTGCAAACAGGTACATATCTGTTCCCATGAGATATCTCCAAGTGGCATTTGTGGATGTTTAGAAGCAAACAGATACAACACATTTGACACACAAACCACAGGAAGGGAGCTGGGACTGTGGGCTACGTAGGATCTAATGCGACGGTCATGCGGGTGTGATGTGCAGTTCCGTCTGGCCAGAATGGCTTCCCTCCCTCTCTCCCTTCTCCATGTGAACTTGTCAACCTCCCTCCAGAAAGCTGAAGGCTGAGTTGGAGACCTTCCCTGATAAAAGACGGATGGATATTTAATCAAGAATGCAGTTAGTGGTTCCATAGCAAGCACATTGGTCCCACCTGGCTTCCCTCCTAGGCCCGCTAATGCTGTATAACACCTGTTCCATTGTGGGATGACATTCGTTTAGGAAGCAAAGTAATTTGCCTGGTTGATTATTTTTTTTAACCTAATGATTCACCCACTAGAAAAGGAGTTTCACTGCTAAGATCTACATAGGCACTCTCCTGCTTTGTTAAACACCTAGTAAGACAGACACCTTCTAATAATGACATGGTTTTATGTTACTGATCACTAAAGAATCACCAGCATTTTGATTATATGCTTCATTTACCTAACATTCCAAACCACCTCCAAGAAGGAAAAATTCCTACGTCTTTCCTAATTTACTCCACCCTCCTTAAAATATGAGGGCTGACTTTGCCCCTGGGAAAAGTCCATCTACTTGTCAAGACTGAACTAGCTTTTGTTTGGTTATGAGGGAGCATTTTCCCCCAGCCCAAATCTTAACTGATATACAATGATATTCTATGATGCTATTTACACACTGTGACCTTAACCATTATTTTCGATCTTTCATTTTGAATATTCATCTTCCTCATTGCCTTTAGAAAACCAGCCCCAGGTCAAGAAATGATCCACATGATCATAAGCACTTTTTCAAAACTAAAATCCTTTAAGAGCATTTACAAACATCCTACCAACAAAAAGCTTGCTCAAAATCTGACATACTTCAAGCGGTTAATTACTGTTGTTAAGGGCCGTCGAATCGGTTCCAACTCATAGCAACCCTGTACAGGGTTTCCAAGGAGCAGCTGGTGGGTTTGAACTACCATTCAGTGTTGATCCTACAGCACTTACACCTAGACTCCAGCTTTTATGTAAGTAGCTAAAAATCACTAAAAGTAAGCACACCACCACCAGCAACTTTTTAGCTCTCTTCTTGTTTCCCCACGCCTACTGCATCCCACACCATGAAGAATCCATTATTACCACCTGGTTTAGGGCCTAAAGTAGACCAACTACTTGCTTCATGGGAGCAAACTGTGCCTAGTTTCACTTTGTCCCGAGAGGACTGCCCTCTAGTGGTGAAACAGGGGCACCACACAATGACATGACAGATGGTAGGTGCTGTAGCGCCTGACTCACAGTGACCCTATGTATGCACAACACAACACTGCCCAGTCCTGGGCCATCACAATGGTTCTACTTGAGCTCACTGTGCAGCCACTATGCCATTCCATCTCGTTGGGGTCTTCCTCTTTTCGCTGACCCTCCTCTTTTAGTCTGTGTTGACTCATGACAACCCCAGTGTGTCAGAGTAGAACTCTGCTCGATGGGGTTTTCAATGACGATTTGGTGGGACTAAATTACCAGGCCTTTCTGCCGCAGCACCTCTGGGTGAACTCAAACTTTCAACCTTCCAGTCAACAGGGAGTTCATTAACCATTTATACCACCCCGGGGCTCCTAGTGATGTGTTGTTGTCAAAGTGCTATTGAGTCAGTTCTGACTCATAATGGCCCTGTATAGGGTTTCCAAGGAGCGGTTGGTTGGTTTGAACTGTCATCGGATAGTATGAGTCAACACAGCTTTCTATTCAAATGACCAGTTCTTCCCTGGAGTTCTTGACTAAGGCCCATGGCTCACAGAAGCAGCTGCTGTGTCCCCTACTGCACGGCTGGGTAAGCCTTTGCTTGGCCCCTAGGAATAAAAGGCAGCCATTCTGTCATTTATTCTCACCAGACTTCTTTTGATCAAATCCAGAATCACTGCAGGTGTCTCACGCATGTCAAGGCTGATGAAATGTCCCAGAACAGGTCAAAGGGAGACCAAATACATGATGAAATTTGAGGGTGCCCTTCTGCACCAGCAGCTGGCACCAGAGTTCTACACCCCCCTCTAGAGGCAGGCTTTGCAGGGGATGAAGTACCTAAGTCATCCTCAAACCTTAGCCTCACACTTACCAGCTATAGACAGGTGCCCTCAGAATGCCGTTCCACCTAGAGGAGCCTCTGCATTCATCACTAATGAAAGCTTAGGCCATTCTGCACAAAACTCAACAAGTACAAGTTGATTACCATTCCCTTGGTAAGCTGAAACATTGTTCCTACCTCTCACCGGTTGTAGTTAATGGTTTTATATACATAATTTATGTAACTGCTAGACAGAAAGCCCCAGACACTCTCATACCCATCTGTGGTCTTAATATGTAATTCACCAAACCTCTGACCTTCAGTGTCCCCTCTGCACAAGGAGAGCCCCAGTCCTTCCAGCTCCAATGGCCAACGTTGAGGCTGAGGAGGAACTATTAACTCTAAGTCACTTTGGAGGATATCCATGTGCAAATTCCTATGAAGAATAACTAGGCTGATTAGGCCCAAAAGGTCCAGGTAAGACTGAAGGTTACTAAGCCACTGGTTTCCTGCTAGTTGCTCTACATTCTATTCTAACCACACTGTCCCCTCTCCATCGCGCAAGTGGGTGAGAGTCTCAGTAAATGGAGGTAAGCTTCCACCATCTCCCCACTTCAGTTACCAGTCTGGAGGCAGCTCCTGGGTGTCGGGGGAAGTCAGCTCTTCTTATACACCTTTGCAGGATATAACAGGGGGAGCAGGAAGGCAAGAGCCGGACTGTTAAACTGAAGCAAAGTACTTCTACATCCATCTGTTGTCTCCCCAACATTGAATCCACCTGGTCTTCCTCGCACACTTTGCTTTGCTGTGTGTGAGCACAATGCTGGAAAGAAATCCGTTTAATTAAAGCCTCTCTGCTGAGATAATGTAGTGACTGCTTGACTTCCAGCTACTTTAATGGGAACCAAAATAGTCAAGAGTTTCTCCTTTTCTTTCCCTCATTAGCTAAGATATCTGCTGCCTTGTGGGTGGAATTAATCCATAGAGCCACTTAGTTCATCTGTGACTAGATGCTGGTGATTCTGCCTGAAATTGTTCCTACACAAGGCCCTGTCCATGTGGAGGCGTGCACTGTGGCGGGACAGCCTCTGTGTTTTTGGGAGATCCCCACGGTGACCAGGGAAGATGCCAGCCTGGCTGCCTCTCCATCACCAGAGTGGCCAGTCGGTTCCAGTTAACACAGGGGCAGCTCTGTAGGTCTACCACACACAAGCACGGGGCATGGAAGACAGGTTCTTCAGCCTCATGGACACCGAGATCTAACTGGGACGCTACAGGATTCCCCTCAAATGGACATAACTCTGCAACTCAGGCATGCACTCGGTTAACGGAAGCCATTGCACATAAAGAGCCAGCAAAGAAATGCCTTTTGCTAACCTGGGGCAAAAACAAATTCTGACAGAGAAAAGTAAAACTTACAAAGATGTTGCTTTTTCTGCCACCTCATCACAGTGGGCACTATCTTTCAAGGCTTGGTGGCTGCTAGTCCTCTTGTGGAAAGGCTAAAATACAATGATATTGTATTCACTGGGGTACAGTCATAGCAGCTTAAAATCCACAACTAGTCATACAACCAAACAACAGGCAAATGGGATACATGTTCCATTGCAGGAGAAGGGGGTGTTGGGAGATTCAAGGCAGGACACACCTTCACAGTTGGATCTGGCTTCAGAAAAGAAGACCACAAGGTAACTTTCTCATCTTAGTCAAACAGGAGAGTGATTTGTCTTGCTGGTCACTTAGTCAGGTGGGAAGTTTTAAATAGGGGGAAAGAAGGCCTACTTCACTTAAAGAACTTAATCTCCGTGTCAACACAGTCATAGAAAAGGTCCCCTACTTCGGTGGGATCCAGGGGGTCGCAGCTGCTCAGGGCTTCCTCCATGGCTTCCAGGCCTTGCTTCTCTAGCCCCAGCATGGTCTTCATCAGCTTGCGACCCTGTTCCTGTGGAAAGAGAGCGCTTTCAGTAAAGCAGTGGGCCTGGAGGGACGGAGGAGGAGTGGGGGGGCGGGCCATTCCAATGGACATGGAAGCCTCCCCTGGGTTCTGCTGGCTTCCTGCCCACAGCGCTGCCCACACGGTCATAGGGACCATTCTAGAATGCTGATGTGGTTACATCACTGCGCTGATCAGAATACTTGAACAGCTCCCCACTGTCTTCAGGGTAAACCCAGCCTCCTGAGTGCTAGCCACACATCCAAGGCTCTTGCTTGCCCCTCCTACTGCCGGGTCCCTCCAGTCACCCTTCTCTTCAGCCAGCCTGAAGTAAGTGCATTTCTCCAGCACATGAAACTCTTCCCACGGCTGTTTTCCGGAGTACCCTTCTCTCCAGCAACATTGGGTCAGCTTGCATTCACTCTTTTAGCTTCTTCGGAAAACTCTTCCTGACCTCTGAGCCCAAGCAGTAAGGGGCCCCCTTCTGGATTTCCCCCAGTGTAATGCCTTTAATTCTGCCATAGTCATTATCTTTCTGTCTTGTCATGGTGTGCCGATTTAGCTGTATTCCCCCTAGACCATGAGAGCTAGGCTTCTCGGTCCTCCAAAGACAGGGATAGAGTATGCAGTCTCAATAAGTGATTACTGAGTGAATCAATAGATCAGTGAATAAGCCTCTTCTTCTTCTAGCTCTTCTTCTAGCTGGAATCATTCATTTACAGCAAACGATCGTGAAAAACTCGCATTTTCCCAAGAACTGAGACAATGCTCTCATCAGTCATGCACCGCTTCCTAAGGTTGTCTCAGCTCAGACCAGTGGTCATTCAAAACCCCTATGACCACCTCAGTCTCTTCTCTTAGACTTTTTATGTAAAATATCCCAGAATGCATGGCCCTTCCTACCTGTGCTTTCTAATTGCCAATTCTACACCACACAGTCTAGTCTACTTGGACCACCTGCCAGCCACTTACACAACAAGCGCCAGAAGTCAGGAACGGATTTGGACATCCCTGGAGGAAACTCAAGTTCAGTGCCAACAGCTGCATTCATGGTCCCAGGAAAACGTTTGGCAAGTAGGACAGATGCTCTATGGTCAATAAACTATGTGACTTTGACATGTCAGTGGTCATGTTTGTGGAAATAAAAAGCAAGTTCTATGAAAACCACGAAGGCCCCTCTCTGAGATACTTTCTGAATTTGTTTGCATTTACTGCTGATGCCACCCTTTTTGTAGAGTCCACCATGCTGAATATAAAGAAAAAGGCTCATCGGTCCATCCAGAATATATGAGGGAGGTTCAAAAAGTTCATGGAAAAATGGAATGAAAAGGTAATAATAGCATTTCCCCACAAATTTTGGGTTTTTTTTGAAAATGTATACTGTGAATCAGTTTCATAGTCAACAAATCACACACTTTGTTTCATCTCAAGGATGGCAATCCACTCCGTGAAGCAAATTAACCCACTTCCTCCCTATGCTTCCTAGTTCCATTCCTCCCTTCTTCCCAACTCTTCTCAACGTTGTCCTTAAGTAAATGGTGCCCTTTTGATCTTGAGTGGTTGATCATTCCATGGTGAGCATACCTGACTAATGTTGTTGTCTCCCTACATACCTATTTATTGCTTGGTTCCTAATTGGGTCACAAGGGTGAGTTCCATTACAGACCTGAAGGGTAGCCAAGGGTCATAATCTTGGGTTCCTCCAGTCTCTTTCTGACCAGTAAGCCTGATCTTTTCTTAATATATAATTTTGAGTCTTTCCCCACATTGTCTCCCACTCTGTCTAGGACCTTCTAACATGATCCCTTTCAGAGCAGTTGGTAGTGGAGGCCGGGCACCATCTAATTCTCCTGGTCTCAGAGTCATTTCTATGAAATTTTGAAGCCCCCCCCCACCCTTATGTAACATGTTACTTAAAAAGTGTCCCTTTTCTTCAGGGCAAATTGGACCTATTATGAATGATTAAATGGATGCTTGGCAAAATAGACAAGCGTCTGACAATGATGTCTCTTCCTCTTGATTTCAGCAACAAAACATAAGAAAACAGACTTGGTTTTATATGAAAGTCATTGGCTGCTGAGGAATATATATTGGGTTTTTTTCTCATTGCAATTGATGTCTTATGATTTGATTAACCAAAGTTTTGAAGGGGAAAATTTACATTTTAAAGAATTACTTTTTTTAAAACAACATATTGCCAACAGAGCATCTTTTTACTCCGAAAGTATACAAATAATTGTAGACGGCAGAAAAGCATTTATCCCTATTAAAACTCCACAATTCTAGTATCTCTCAGTAACAGAGTAAATTAAAGAGGTAGATTCTTAGCCTGTTGTACTCTAGAATGGCATCAAAAATAGGCGTTTTGTTTTATTTGGTTTCAAGAGACTGGGCAGGGAAATTAACACCAGCATTCTAGGAAGGACCTCAGGGAGCCTGTAGTTCTGGGAGAAATCTGTTAGGCTAAGGATGTGCGATCACTGAGATCCTGCCTCTGCCCTTCACAACCCATACCCAAACCTCACCTGGTCACTTTCGATGGCAGCACGGGCCCACTCATGGGCTTTATATAATTCATGCCGGCGATCTGGTTTCTCCTGGAACCGAGGCTCCTTTCTGGCAGGGTCATCGTCCCCAAAACTGGGAGACTGAACTTTAGGGACAGGTTTTACATTATCAACAAAGATGAAAGGCTTGAATATGGACCTGGGAAGAGAGTAGAAGGGTGGTCAGCCAGACTGAATTGCGGGCTTGGAGATACCCAGAGATTGTTCTTTCATCCAGCAACTATTGTTTTCTGAGTCACCATGAGGCGTGGGAGGGTGTAGGTGGTGTGGGTGGTAGGAACACGTGCTCAGGAAGCTCAGTTCTTATGTTTCAGCAAGACAGCTGTCATTTACGGAGCCCTGGTGGCAGAGTGAATTAAGCACTGGGTTGCTAACCATAAGGGTGGCGGATCAAACCCACCAGCTGCTCCTTGGGAGAAAAATGAGGCTGTCTGTCCCAATAAAGATCTATAACCTTGGAAACCCTACGTAACCATTTTGTTTTGTCCTGTGAGGTCACTCTGTGTCAGACCGACCCAATCGCAGTGGGCAGGTAGCTAGCTGTCATTTACAAGCTTCAAACTTCTCCATTTACAGTGTAGAGACATCAAAACTAACTTTTTTTTTTGGGGGGGCGTGGAGGCCACTTAATAGCTCTCTTTAGTTATATAAGGTAAGGCTAATGAGCACCCAGTGTTCTGAGAAATGATATAAAGAGATGTCTATGTGAGATGATGCATTATGCTGTCCAAGGAGAATATTAACACTACCATGGACTGCAAAGGAACAAACAAATCTGTGTTGGAAGAAGTACAGTCAGAATGCTTCCTAGCATCCAGGATGGTTTCACCTCTCATACTTTGAACATATTATCAGAAAGGGCCAATCTATACAGAAGGACATTTGTTGTTGTTTTTAATGCTGTGGAGTCAGTTCTGACTCAAAGAAACCCTGATAAGGTTTCTGAGGAGCGGTTGGAGAGCTTGAACCACCAACCTTGCAGCTCAAACAGATCTTACTATGTGGATGAGTACCAGCTGGCTCAGCTGAGTATTTTAAAATATCGATATGATGGAATTAACATTCTCAATAAAACTCATTGTAGGGTTTTTACATCTCCCTCCATTTCTCACACACTCAGACTTTTGTACATTTTCCCAACTCAAACTTACTCATAGTAGGTGCACGTAGTAAAAGGGAGGGAGGACAGAAAAGAAGGAAAGAAGAAGAGAAAAAGAGACTGTGAAAAGCAATTACTTAAAGAAAAAGATCTTTAAAATAATATAGTGAACAAAGAACAAATTATCAGACAAAAGAATGGTTATGATCAAATCCTTTGATTTCGAATATTAACTGGGGAAGATGCAGCCCCACTCAGTGATCATAATGTTTTGCAAGTCCATTGCTCTGAAACTACCTCCTGAACAGGTTTTTAATATTTGAGCATTAGCAGAAACCAGCTAAAATGTACCTAATTTGACTATCTGAAAACCAAAGAGTAGGAAATTATCCTTCCTGCTGAAAAATACTAAATGTTGAACATGTCCAATTACAGAGAAACACTGAAATGTTGAACTTAAAGAAAGAAAGAAAGAAAAAGCCCATGACAGTTCTACAGGCCTAGTAGGAGATGTAGCTCATTTAAGCACAGAAGATAAAAATGAATGTCTTCCGGAAGGGCCTTAATCTTCTACATGATTTTTTCAATTAATTTAACCATGAATAATTTACCTTTACAGTTACTTGAAATTTCCCATTTTAAACCTTAGAAGGCTAATTCCAACCCATTTCTATCATTGTATAAGGTGGTGTACTTCAGCCTAGGAAATAAAATTCATTTATATTAGTATCTGGGAGTCCGGCTGTGGCACTGGACTGCTAACCACAAGGTCGGTGGTTCAAACCCAGCAACCGCTCCTTAGAAACCCTATACAGGGCTGCTATGAATCAGAACCAATTCGATGGCACTAACAACAACAACAACAATGTATTAGAATCTGAGTCTTGGTGGGTGCTGTAGGATAAGCACTGGACTGCTAACTGCAAGGTTCTCGGAAACCATATACAGGATTGCTTTGAGTCGGAACTGATTCGATGGCACTTAATCACAACAGAAACACATTAGTGTCCTTGGCATCATAAAACCTGGACTTGCCAGCAAGGTTAGAGCAGGCGTCTGAAATGTTAGGACAGCAAGGATTCCTATGGTCATTCTATAGTCTAACCCATCCTTTCAAAGGCTCCTGTTTCATAAATTGCTAAGTGCCACTGAGTTGGTTCTGACGCATAGTGAACCTATTTAGGATTTCCAAGGAGCAGCTGTCCGGTTTGACCTGCCAACCGACCTGTGGTGAAGTATTTACCCTCCAGCCCCATACCAGCACTCGGTTTCCTAAATAACAATGTCTGAATACCATAGCAGAATATTTAAGGATCACCAAAACCAGGTTCCATACATCCACCTGTGTCCCTCCTGGGCCACCAGACTTCACGCAAGAGGCTCCTGAGCCAAGCCTTCAGAGGGATATCCAGACACTAGCAGGAAAGAGGGAAAGCCCCATATCTGGAAGTACAAGGAGTGGGTGGCAGGTGGGGTCATGGAAACAACAGTTCAAAACTGGAAGTACGATCAAGAACAAGCATTTGAGCTATGCTCTTGGAAGAGAATATTGAAAGTGCCATGGACTGCCAAAGGAGCTCTGGTAGCGTAGTGGTTACGAATTGGGCTGTTAACTTTAAGGTCAGCAGTTCGAAACTACCAGCTGTTCCGCGGGAGAAAGATGAGGCGTTCTGCTCCCGTAAAGATTTACAGCCTCAGAAACCCTGTACAGGGTCGCTATGAGTCAGAACTGACTCCACGGCACGTAACAACAACATGGGCTTCCAAAAGAACAAACAGATCTGTGTTGAAGAAGTACAGCCAGAGTGCTCTTTGGAAACCAAGATGGCCAGACTTTGTCTCTCATACTTCAGACACATTATCAGGAGGGACCAGTTCCTGGAGAATGATATCATGTTTGGTAAAGTAGAGGGTTGGAGAAAAAGAGGAAAACCCCCAATGAGATAGACTGGCACAGTGGTGGCAGTGATGGGTTCAGGTGCAGCAACGATTGTGAGGTTGGCACAGGACCAGGCAGTGTTTTGTTTTGTTCTGTTGTGTATAGGGTCGCTATGAATTGGTACTGGCCCAATGGCACCTAACAACAACAGCAATGTTCCCTTTGAGTCCTGGTGTGACACTGTAGGATAAGCATTGGACTGTGGTTCAAACCCACCAACCATTCTTCAGAAACTCTCTACAGGGTTGCTATGAGTCAAACTGACTCAACAGCACTTAACAACAATGCTTCCTCAGACTGTGACCTCATTAAGGACACAATCCATTTCCTCAGTATCCAAAAGCATAAGAGATGATCAATAAGTGTTTACTGAATGAATAAATGAGTGAATGAAAAACTAGGAATAGCTTATATTGGGCTCCTGGTGTCGCGCTATAGGATCAGTACTGGACTGCTAACCACAAGGTCGGCAGTTAAAACCTACCAGCTTCTCCTCGATAACCCAGTACAGGGTCACTATGAGTTGGATCTAACTCCATGACACTTAACAACAACAAAATCAGGTCCTATTAGAATGATATTGGCATTTATTAGTTAAAAATAAAATGAAATAGAGGGCAAGTGGAGCGGAATGGAGCTTGGCTTTCCACCGGAGTCATCTAAGATAGAATCTCCCATCCTGAAACCGTGAGAGGAGAATAAATATTTTCAGCTGCAGAGTGAATGGAACTTAACAGCTACGGATTCCCTGGTAGCAGATTCAACAGTTTATCACCCAACATTCCAGAAATGATGATGGGGACAGTCAAGGGAACACCTGAAGAATACCAGAGAACCTACTAGAATGAATGGTGTCCTAGAGCTTTCTACATGGAGGATCGCACTCACCTGACAGATCGTTAGGCGTGCCTCAAAGATTCTGATAGAATAAGCTTAGCCAAGCTTATCCTAATTTTTCAATGCCATACGCCCCACCCCCAAAGTGATTCAGACAACAAAGTGTTTTAAAAACCATTGGATGATTGATTACACCTTAGCTTCTGAAGGTGTGATTTGTGGCACACTGGGATATGTTGGGAAAAGGGACTTCTGTCAGCCTGGTAGATCAGAGATTGTCTTAATAAGTAATAGCTAAACCTACTATGAAGTCCTGGTATGGTGCTGTGGGTTAATGCATCAGACTACAAAGTCGTTTGAATGGCAAAGTTGACAGTTCAAGCTCACCAGCTGCTCCTCAGAAACCTATACAGGATTGCTGCTATGGGTTGGAGCCGACTCAATGGCACTTAACAACGACAACTCTCCTACGTATTTTACTTGAATTATCTCACTTAATCATCCTGAAGGACTGCTGGTATGGTGCTGTAGGATCAGCACTGGACTGTGAACCACAAAGCTAGCAGTTTGAACCCAGCAGCTCCTCCTCATAAGCGCTATACAGGGTTGCCATGAGTTGGAACTGACTAGACGGCACTTAACAACAACAACAACAACAATCATCCTGACAAGTCTATAAAGGTAGAGACAAGTATCTGCACTGTACAGACGAAGAAACTGAAGCTTAGAGAGATTAACTAACTTATCTGGCTACTAAGTGATAACTCGTTGTTGTTGTTAAGTGCTGTCAAGTAGATTCCGACCCATAGCAACCCTGAACAGGGTTTCTGAGGCTGTAAATCTTTACTGGAGCAGAAAGCCTCATCTTTCTCCAGCGGAGCAGCTGGTAGTTTCGAACTGCTGACCTTGCGGTTTGCAGCCCAATTTGTAACCACTATGCTACCAGAGCTCCTTTACTAAGTGATAACAATCGGATTCAAAATACTGGTAGTTTATTCTAGAAGCTGTATTGTCAACCAATGTACAATACTGTCATTTGGCTAAAGGACAAGGGCAGAAAGAAATCCCCTGTAACACGACGTCTGAAAGAACTGGCTAGTGCACTCGAAGTTGCTTCCATCTGTATTGTCTCTGGGTCATTTTGTCAGCTAATTCCTAGGAACTGGATATTTTGATAAATCTTGGACATTCCTCCATCTCTGTTCCACCTTGCACCCCTCATATATAGCACAGTGTCTGGTCCATGATGAATACACAATATACATTTGTTGAACTTAACACTTTGATTCCATGAGTGTGAAGAATACAATTTAACTAGCACCAAGAACTACACTTTACCAAAGCTCTTTGTGCTACATTGTCTATGAAGACAAGAGAATATCAGAAAGATGTTTACCTGTGTTTTACTGACTACGCAAAGGCTTTCAATTGTGTGGATCATGACAAGCTATGGACAGCAGAGAATGAGTACTCTGGAACACTCAATTGTGCTCATGAGGAATCTATACATAGACCAAGAGGCAGTCAGAGGCAGTCATTTAAATAGAACAAGGGAAACCAAATGGTTTTAAATTAGGAAAGGTGTGCGACGGGATTATATTCTTTCACCATACTTATTCAGTCTGCATGCTCAGCACATAATCTGAAAAGCTGAGTTAAATGAAGAAAAACGTGGCATCAGGATTGGAGGAAGACCTGCGATATGCAGATGATAGATACAATCTTGCTTGCTGAATGCGAAGAGGACTTAAAATGCTTACTGATGAAGATCAAAGACCACAGCCTTTGGTATGAGTTGTGTCTCAATGTAAAGAAAACAAAAATCCTCACCACTAGACCAATAAATAACATCAAGAAAAATGGAGAAAAGATTGAAGTTGTCAAAGACTTCATTTTACTTAAATCAATCATCAACACTCATGGAAGCAGCAGAAATCAAATGATGTGTTGCATTAGGCAAATCTGCTGCATAAGACCTCTTCAGTCTTGAAGAGCAGAGCTGTCAGTTTAAGGAATAAATTGCATCTGCCCCGAGTCATGGTATTTTCAATAGCCTCATACACATGTGAAAGTTGGACAATGAATAAGGGAAACCATAGAAAAATTGATGCATTTGAGTTACAGTATTCATGAAGAATACTGAAAGTACATTGGACTGCCAGAAGAACAAACAAGTCTGTGTTGAAAGAAGCATAGCTAGAATGCTCCCTTAGAAGCCAGGATGGCCAGACTTGGTCTCTCACACTTTGGACATATCAGAAAGGACCAGTACCTGGCGAAGGACATTATGTTTGGTACCATGGAAGGTCAGAGAAAAAGAGGAAGATCCCCCAATGAGATGGATTGGCACCGCACCAGGCAGTGTTTTGTTCTGTTGTGTGTAAGGTCACTATGAGTCAGTACAACCTCGACAGCACCTAACAATAACATCCATGAAGAAGCAGAAAGAAAAGGGTAACAGTGCTAGACAACAGAGGAGATGGTGTAAGGATTTAGGGCATGTTTGATGAATGAGCTTCCAAGGGAAGTACATACTTTCTACCAGACAAACCTGGATGGATCTGGGGTCCCAGTGAAGTAGTGAATGCAGGGGGAGCTTCTGTTCTGAGGCAGGACAGACACTGTACTGGCTGTCGTGAGGAAAGATTCTGAGTCTATACAGACTCCACTGGCTTTGTCACGTAAGATGTCAATCATAGTTTGCACCGTGATGCTTTCTGTAAAATAAGAAAGAGGAGATAGGACTGTGATTGGCTACTCACCAAATGTCATTCATGCCTTTTGCTTTAAAAACAGTCGTTTTTGTTTTGTTGTTGTTAAGTGCCAACAATAGAACCCTTAAAATTATAGCTGGAACATAATTGCCCAACTCCAGACTATATTTCCCAGCTTCCCTTGTGGCTAGGTGTGGTCATGTGATAAACTCTAACCAATGAGATGTGAATAGAAATACGTGCAATTTCCTCAACACATTCATAGCCAGGAATGCTTGCCTTTCACTGTTCTTATTTCCCTTCCTACTGCCTGGGAGGTGGCAACAAGCGACCACGAATGGAAGGCATGTGTTGAGGCAGAGCAGGCCACCAGCCCTGGGCTGTCCACATACATCTGGAATGTAACAAGGCAGATAACTCAACTTGCATTTTCTTTGAGCCATATATTTAGCTAGACCTCAACCAGTGCAGTAACTCAATGGAATGGGATCCCTAGGTGAAGTGCATACAATCTATGTATATTCCAGTCTGCTCCCTCTCTCACGCACTTTTATTAGTTAAGGTCAATATTATATTTGGAGAATGACGTCTCTGCATATACACACAAAGAGACATTTAGAATATTCGGAGCCATTAGGACTACTGACTTTGACTTCAGATAAATTAATAAACAAATCCCTGAAGACAGAGGATCCCGGTACTGTCTTTTCCCTCTTTAGCTACAATTCAAGAAAACACTAGTCATGAAGCCTGTATTCACCAAGATGGAATCAAAGCACCACAGAGGGAGCAGTTACCTTTAAATTCACCAGCACAATTCACACTCTCTTTGTCAAGTCCCGTCTACTTATAACATGCCACACTAGAAACATTGACAGTAAGTCCTTGATTTCTTCAATTATCTAGTGTTCAAATTTTCTCATGGTTTTGTAAAAGTTTTCTAGGTTCATCAATTTGGATCAGGAACCAATAGGTTAATAATTTCTCAGAAATCTCTTATAATTTCTGTCTCTCCTTTGTACCCTTTCTCTTTTGTTTTGTTTTTGAGAAACCAGGTCATTTTTCCTGTAGAATTCTTAACAGCTGACTTTTCAGATGACATCACTAAGGTTTTATTTCATCAGTTCCTCTGTCGTCTGTATTTCCTACAAACTATTAGCTAGATCCAGATGATTCATCAGTTTTAGGTTTGATGTTTTGGTAAGACTATTACATACAGAGTACTGTACACTAGTTTTATTTTTTAACTAAAATTCTGTAAGGCATTTTCAGCTTTGAAAAGAGTTCTTAAAGTTCCCATTTAAAAATGGATACTTACCTTCTTTTCCAGGATCTACTAAGTTCTATTTAAAAAAAACTGCAGCATTTTTCTAAAATAGGATAGCAAACTATTTCTTAGAGTCAGATAAATGTTTTAGGCTTGTGAGCCTAAGCTCTGTGACAACTTCTCTGTTCTAACTATGCAACTACTTAAGTCTGCTGCTGTATCACGAAAGCAGCCATAAGCCATACGTCAATGAGGTGGTGTGATTGTGTTCCACAAAAGCAAGAAGCCATCTGCAGGCCACAGTTTACAGGTCCCTGTTTTAAATGAGCAAAGATTTGACTTATAAAATACATTTGTCATTAGCAAATGCAACGTGTGGTCATCTTGGTTATTTGTAAGGGTTTCCCTCAGGCACGATCCAGTCACTAGATTTATGTAACTGTGGACTCAGATTAATTCATTTACTATGGGGAAGACAAAAGACTTATAGAAAGAATTCAATTTAACAATTCAACTCAACAAATGCTTATGGAACAAAGGACTATACAGCTATACCAAGGAGATCTTAAGATGAGCAAAATAATGGGACTGAGTGAGAGGGAAATATAGTATAAAGACAAGTCAAATGTACAAATATAAAGAATAAGGAAAGCTGAAGTAAGCATCATAAGAGCTAAACCTATGACAACAGTGTTTAAAGAAGAAAATATCATCAGGAGCAGAAAATTTTCAGGGATAAGGAAATATCATGAAAAATAAATACAATTTATTTTCCTCCCTGATGGGATTTTAAGCATAAGTTTGATCATTACATATGAGATCTATTCTCTAATTCTCTGCATTGGTCACACTCTTAAATTCAGGTTGTTGTTGTTGTTGTTGTGTGCCGTGGAGTCGGTTCTGACTCATAGTGACCCTGTACAGGATTTCTGAGGCTATAAATCTTTATGGGAGCAGAAAGCCTCATCTTTCTCCCATGGAACAGCTGGTAGTTTCAAACTGCTGACCCTGAGAGTTCTCTGAAATGGTTGAAAGACAAAGGAGATGAGAGGAGGAATGATACGCTATATAGCAACTCACCTTCTTGTTTTTCTAGGGTGGTTTTGCCTGCACAGCAGTCTAGATGGTCATCAGCTAGAGAAAAAACTTTGGAAAAATTGAACTCATCTTCTCCTGTCCACCAGCCTTGGCTCTGCGCGTAATTCCTGAGCTCAGGATGCTCTGCATCAATGTTAGTGGTAAGCGAAAGCTGATTGCAAATGCACTTCTCTCCCTCTGTGTATAGACAGGCAAAGTCAAGTTAGTTGAAAATACACTTATTAAGAATTAATCAAGAAATGGAAATTTACAGGGAGTCTTCCTCTCCAACTCTTACTTTAACCACAGAGAAGAATCCATTCAATTTTTGAGGAAGAAACAGACAATCCTTCAGACTCTTTCAAGGAAATCTCCCAGAAGGTTTAAACAGTCCTGACCAGGTTTTATGATATTTTAAATGAGCAACGATCACTTTAATGATCTTAATTTCAAAATGAAAAGGAAACATGCCTAGCTCTTCATTCTGGCTACATAAGCCCTAAGCATTTATTACCTACAGGCAAAAAAAATTTTTTGAGAAGGCACTATGCTACTAATTTGTTTGGTTTTGTTAAATACTCTCTAGTTAGTTCTGACCCATAGCAACCCTGTATAGGCTTTCTGAGGAGCAGCTGGTAAGCTCGAACCATCGATCTAGCAGTTCAAACCGACTTTGCAGCCCAGCACATTAACCCACAGTGCCACACCAGGGCTCCATACTACTAATTGTTGTTGTTGTTGTTAAGTGGCATCGAGTCGGGTCCGACCCATAGCGACCCTGTACAGGGTTTCCGAGGGTGTAAATCTTTACGGGAGTAGAAAGCCTCATCTTTCTCCCGCGGAGCGGCTGGTAGTTTCGAACCGCTGACCTTAAGGTTCACAGCCCGATTCGTAACCACTACGCTACCATACTACTAATAAGACCTATGAATGTTGAATCTTTAGACATTCCTCTTCCTCAATTTGGTTCTGTTTCACCTAGACAAATTCTTCAAACCATCATTCCCTACACATCCAAATATATACATATTTTTAAAAACACAAATATGATACTTCTTCATTCAAATCATTCTTCTGACCCCCAAATTTAGAACAAAATATAGTGGCACTGATAATAATTTAAAAATAAAGGGATAAACCTTTGAATGTGTGTCTATGTATGAAAACATCTTTGTGAGTCCAGTTTTGTCATAAAAATCTGTGTAGCTAACAATCTGAAGCAAAAATGCCTGCATTCTAAGTAAATTCACCACAATGAATGAGGTTGAACCTAGAAATTCTCCCAACAGTTGGCAGGCTTGCTATGTCTTCTCCAAAGCCTCAACTGAAAACACACTGAGGATAAACAGACCTTTCAACTCAAGACACTGTTTAGAATGCAAACACTAAAAAGTTATCAGTTGGAATTCAAGAGGGCCATTCATACTTGCTTCTTCTGGGGAGCAAGTCAAGCTTCCAAATTCTTGAAGAATGAATTAGAACAAGAAATAGAGCCAAAATTACAAGCTGTAGTAAAGTTATTACTGCCCAACAATCTGTAACCAGAGCCAGGGGTGCTGAACCGAGTCCTGCCAACATAGTTGGCTTTGCTGATTTATTCTTCCAAAATCAACATTCCTGACCAATGGGCATTTTTGTCTTTTGCCATTCATCTTTTCAAAGACTCATGTGATACATTTTTTAAGTATAGATTTAACCTAAACAATGATTTTAACATTATCCATACTAAGCTATTGAGAAAATCTTGTGAACAACTCCATAGATGTTATTTTTCCTAAAGAGTTGACTTTTAATAGCATTTTAGAATTCAAGGGATGAGTTCATTGAATCCTATAGCAGTCACACAGAGACTGGGGCCAGGGGGTTTGAAAGCATTGAGTCTGAGAAATGAATGCATGTTTTGTTTTGTTTCATTTAAATGTTTCATAAAAGACAACATTGGTTTTGAGGAAATCGATTTTTAAAACTGTATTCTGAAAAGGAGCTCAGCTTTTGGAATGCAGTCCAGATCAAAAAGTTCCACTTAAAAGTAATGTGGCTGTTTTTAAGCATGGAGTGACTAGTCCCCTTGATGGAACAATTCAATAATAAAACTCCATCTTAGGAGGGTTTTTCTTAAATTTTACATTGTTGCATTTCAGGAAGATTGGAGACTGACCTGGTGGCCCACACTGAGGCATTAGTTTTTATAAATACTGTAAGAGTTAGGTAAGCAGACACATGCTCTGGCAGATATATGCCAGACATGGGATGGGGGAGCTGTAGAGTCCCTCTGAGGTTGCTAGGGTACCACTAACCCTTCTACACTCTTGTGGGGATTAGGAGCTCTGGTAGCGTAGTGGTTACGAATCGGGCTGCGAACCTTAAGGTCAGCGGTTCGAAACTACCAGCCGCTCCGCGGGAGAAAGATGAGGCTTTCTACTCCCGTAAAGATTTACACCCTCGGAAACCCTGTACAGGGTCGCTATGGGTCGGACCTGACTCGATGGCACTTAACAACAACAACAACCCTCTCCTCCAAACAGACACCATCTTTGCAGGCTTGGCCAAAAAGTCACAGGCTAGACTGCATGAACTTCCTGGTACTCGGTAGAATGTGTTCATTACTCAGCACAGCCTGATTCCTGCACTGACTTTGCAGTAGATCTTCTGCTTTTAACTCAGGTCAGATTTGGTTCCTGTCATCCCTGAGGGAGGGTTTCAACCATTCCTAACATCATTACTGATGATTTAGAAGAGCTTCCTAGGAAATTCAGTTGAGAACATTCAGAGACCAAATAAAGACTCAACAAAGAGTTCCGTGATCTACACAGTCTTCTCTACCAGGGCACAGGAGGGGTGTCAGGGTGTTGTCCAGTCCTAAAGACTGTATGTGGGGCTTCATCAGCCAATCCTCCCTTAGAAATTCTTCTTTCCTTCTTCTTGGAAACCCTTAACACATGCTGGGGTCCCAGCCATCCAAAACGAGGGTGCTGAGGTGATGTTACAGGACAGTACTGCCTTCACCCGTAACATTTCCTTCTCCAGGCTCAAGGACTGTCTTAGGAGCAAGATGCTGAAGAGACCATGAAGCAGAGCAGATCACCACCTAGTCTGTTGTTCTTCTAGAAAAAAGGTCTCACAAGGAAATGGTCCTCTTGGCCCAACATATCATTCATTCAATGGTCCTTCCTCAGATCCAAGTTTCTATTCCAGAGGAACATTCTAAACATAGAGACCTGTAGGGTTTGGTTCAACAGGAGGCAGCTCCCCACTGAATTGATTCATTAACCTGTTGTGAATCACCATTCCCTTTAATAGAGTATTAACTTGGATCATGGACCTGCTGGGAGTTAAAATTGAGTTCTGTCTAGAAAACGTGAAATGTTACAATTCCCAATTGTTAACATTTCTTGATTCCAAGTTCAAAAAACTCCAGGTTCTAATCTGGAAGCAAGAAGAGTCCAGCGTCGAGAGGCATGTCTAGGCATGAAGACCCAGCACAGAGGGTCTATAACGGCAGTAGGGTCGCACTAGGTCTGACTCTGCTTGTGCAAGCACCATCCACCCCCATCTTTCCCCACCTCCCAAGCCTCCACCACCTATGTCCACTCACCTGTGATCTTCTCCGCTGCCCAGTACTTCCCTATGGTCTCAAGCACCCAGGCTTCTTCCCGATCCACAATCAGATATGCACTTTGGAAACTATGGCAGGAGTTGGCATCTTCATAATAATTTCCACCTTGTCCATGTTCTTCCAACAAGGAGACGATAACATCTAAGGCTTCTTTAGCTGTTGTCCCTCTTTCTAAACCAAGCCTGAAGTAAGGAGCCAAGAAGCAGATCTCAGTCATTGCCAAGTATGTGATTGTCACCATAGCAATGAAAGATTGATACAAGGCTAATAAGAATCATGTCAGCATGTGTACATATGCTAATAACAAGACAAATATGCAAACAGATTAACAGCATTTAAGGCAGACTATATGTGTCACACACTCAGTAAAACATCATGGCTGTCTTCTGTCTTTGGACATCCCATATCCACACAGATAGAAAAGAGTCAGGAATCCAGTGGCTTCTCCCTCATGAAAGGAAGTCCAGCCATCTCTCTCTCTTTGCTGACTCTGTCCTCTATGTAGCTGGTCACTGCATAGCTCTAGCTCTTAGATGTCCTCTTTGTGATTTGTTACCTCCTCTTGCCTCCAGCCTAAATGAACAAAAGGAAATACCCCCTAAACTCTATAGCATTTTGTTTAGTAATAAAAGTGTACAACTGCCAGCCACTGCCTTCTGGGAAACCTCCCTAGGAATGGTTGGCTGGTGAGAAGATGGTCAAAGGTGGGCTACACATTTCTCTTCTTCCCTATCCACCTGACTCTTTGGACAGGTTATGTAATACACTTGAACTTCAGTTTTATGTCACCACTAATGAATACCTACATTATTGGATGGATTTCATAAAAAATGAACATGAAAATATATAGCTTTAGTACCTGGGACCAAGCAAGTGACCAAATTTGGGGAGGGAGGCTGCTGTGACCAAGAGTCCTGTGTTTCAGAGGTAAAGGAACCTAACTTCTAGTTCTGGTTCTGGTTCCAACTGGCAGGTGGATCAGTAGGGCAGTATAATCTTAAGTAACGTAACGTTCCCAAATCTTGGCTCTCTCATCTCTGGTTCAGGTGGATATGAAAGAGGCTGATTGATATATAATATGTACTCAGTAAAAATTCATTTATTTTGGCGACCACATTGGTTTATTGGTGAGTGGAAGAGGGGGAAAGGCAGCAATGAAGAAATGAGCTGAGTTCAACCACATTCCATAGACTCCCATTGACCCAGAGATGAGAGAGAGAAAGGGAAGAGCTGGTTGGTCCAAGTGTGGTGAGACCTGGGGACACCTGAGCCCATAGATAAGGACATAGCCACAGAGGGCTAAAGCTGAGAGTGAAGCATCCAGCTGATATACAATGAGGGGAGATGCACAAGAACACCCAAACTTGTAGACAGTACCCATTTGACCTAGCCTCGATGGTTTGATCATCAGAACTCGACTAGAGAAAGATTTAAAAAAAAAATTTTTTTTGATAAAGGAAACGAGGGTAAATTGCTACAATTTGATAAACTTGACCTATACTCATGGAGGTGTTGTTGTTGTGAAGTGCCATCGAGTCGGTTCCGACCCATAGCGACCCTGTACAGGGTTTCCAAAGGAGCTCTGGTAGCGTAGTGGTTACGAATCGGGCTGCGAACCGGAAGGTCAGCAGTTTGAAACTACCAGCTGCTCCGTGGGAGAAAGATGAGGCGATCTGCTCCCGTAAAGATTTAGAGCCTTGGAAACCCTATTCAGGGTCGCTATGGGTCAAAACTGACTCGACAGCACTTAACAACAACAACAGGGTTCCCAAGGGTGTAAATCTTTACGGGAGTAGAAAGCCTCATCTTTCTCCCGCGGAGCGACTGGTAGTTTTGAACTGCTGACCTTGAGGTTCACAGCCCGATTTGTAACCACTACGCTACCAAAGCTCCTTACTCATGGAGGTAGTAGCTCTAAATACCAACAGAGAGGGAAGAAGTCTTTATATCAAGTATTAATCTTATCCCCTCTGTATACCAGGTAGCTAGGGATGGGCAACTTAGACATTGGATATCTAAAATGATGGGGCGATAAAGGCATGAAGTGACTGGCTTACAAGGTTTCAATAGGGAGTTTAGTTTAAGAGTGTGTGAGGGAAGACAGAGTTCCCATGGAATCATTTTCATCTTGCCTAGATGGGTCTGGTAAAAAGAGATGGGGATAAGATTCTTATGATTCAATAGTGAGTAATTGTTAATCATGACTAATTGTGATTGTCACAATTGTAAAGGTAGAAGTTTTGTAACAAAAACGGGGGAATAGTTCATCTTACAGTCCAGAAACAGAGGACCCTAGGACCATCAAGGAAGAAGAGTAAAAGCAGAATGTGGGACCCTACCCAGAAAAGCAGCAACACCAGAGATGGAGGCAGAGATGGGGACATGGAGAGAGGGAACAGCTGAGGACTCTAGATTTATGGAAAGAAGGACTGAAAGCTGGTGGTGGCCAGGAGGCAGGCTTGCAGAATGTGCCCTTTGGTGGTGTAAATTATTATATATGCCTGAGTGTTTTAAAAATTTTTTTTAAAAAAAGAGCTAAAATGAATAGATAAAAATACTGTTAACTGATGGTTCATGGAAGGGATTATAATCATTGTAATGAAACAAAGTATATGGTTTGTTGAATGTAAAACTGATGATCTGCCCTGTTAACTTTCACTCATTCACAATAAAAACCTAAAAAAAAAAAAAAATCATTTATTTATCTGTTCATTTAAATTATAATGCTAGTGGCAGGAACATAGCCAAATCTGAGAACAGAGGTGAGTTCTCAGCAGTGGGTCGAACCAGAATGAGCCCATTCAAGCCCTGGCTGCCAAGGAGATGCCAGAGGACAGGGCCCCGGTGATCTAGGTCCATGAGGCATACAAAATCATGTGATCTAATTTAAAGCCTTTCACACAACTACGTCACCACCTGCTGCTGTTAAGTGCTGTCGAGATGATTCCGACCCATAGCGACCCTGTATAGGGTTTCCGAGGAGCAGCTGGTGAGCTTGAACTGCCGACCTTGCAGTTCAAACTGCTTTGCCATCTGGCACATTAACCCACAGCACCACACTAGGACTCCATCCACCTAGATGGGGCTAATGTATATGATTCAAATGAGAACAGCATCTTACTGGCCTCCATTCTGAATTTCACTTCAGTGGCTTCACCTCAGCATGGAAAGGATGAACTTAAATAGGCCTTGCTCTGATATTTACCCTAATATACAAGCTTATCCAAATCCTCCCACGTACAAGCTTTCCCCAGGTTGTCCTGGGTTTTACGGTGAGATGGCTCTGACCTCAAAGCCTAGTTTTAGGTGAAATCATGATGAAAAATCCCTAGAAAAAGGGTCTCACAAGGAAGACTTTCTCACAGGTATGCCAAGACCTCACAGGTAGGTCACGTTCACTCTGCCCTTTCCTGAGAAGTCCACCCAGCCCTCAAAAGGATGAGTAACATTTGCACTTCCCTGGGTTAAAGCTCCTTTGCTTAAGAATTCTGCTAGATTATTTTTTTGATACCTTTGTTGTTGTTGTCAAGTGCTCTTGAGTCAGTTCCAACTCATAGGGACCATGTTTAGGGTTTCTAAGGAGCAAGCTGGTGGGTTTGAACAGCCAACCTTGCAGTTAGCGTTATGCTTCCATAAATTAAAGAAACAAATAAGGTAAAACAAAGTTGAAAACTAGATTTACAGATCGATATCTCATGCCATGGTATTTTCAATAACTTCATATGCATGCGAAAGCTGGACAGTGAATAAGGAAGACTGTAGAAGAATTGATGCTTTTGAGTTATGGTGTTGGAGGAGATTATTGAAAGTGCCATAGGCTGCCAAAAGAACCAACAGATCCGTTTGGAAGAAGTGCAGCCAGAGTGCTCCTTGGAGGCCAGGATGGCCAAACTTCGTCTCTCATACTTTGGACATATTGTCAGGAGGGACCAGTCGCTGGAAAAGGATATTATGTTTGGTAAGATGGAGGGTCAGAGAAAAAGAGAAAGACCTTCAACGAGATGGACTGGCCAGATGGCAGCATTGATGGACTCAAGCATAGAAACAATAGTCAGGTTGGCCCAGGATCAGGCAGTGTTTCATTCTCCTGTGCATAAGGTCGCTATGGGTTGGTACCGACTTAATGGCACCTAACAACAACAACAACAACATCTCATATCTGCTTTGGGAAAGTAATGAAAATAATTGATTATTGTTGTTGTCAGGCAGGGACTTAAGGTGATCTCCCAAACAAGAATGGTTGGGTATTGGGACATTGTGGCCATGATGCTTCATCAGCCAAATTTTACCAGGGCTTCCTAGTTCGTCTTAGTCTGGAAGCTTGGCTGCACATGAGGTGCACTTGGCAGAAATTTTCCCTGGATCGCCTGCCTGGAAGGCAGAGATTCTACAGTGAACCACACACAACTTACACTCAAAAATGGTCAGTACTCCTCTCCTTATAAGGAGCTCTGGTAGCACAGTGGTTACGAGTCGGGCTGCCAACCTCAAGGTCAGCTGTTCAAAATTACCAACTCAGATAAGGCTTTCTGTCCCATAAAGATTTACAACCTCGGAAACCCTGACAGGATCGCTATGAGTCGGAACCGACTCTATGGCACACCACCACCATAAGAGAGTAGCTGGAGTCCTGGTGTGGTGCTGCAGGATAATGTGCTGGACTGCTAGGTCAGCAGTTCAAACCCACCAGCCGCTCCTCAGAAACACTGCAGCGTTGCTATGAGTCAGAACTGCGTTCACGGCACACCACCACTGCCAACACAACCACCTCCTTGTAGGACTAGGTCCCCTGCTCATTTTTGTATAAAGACTCGACTGCAAATAACCTGCCCTCCTCCCTACAATAAACAAATGGGCAAAGTCCTCTGAGATCATATGACTTTTGGGGCATGTGACGATTCCCAGTCTTCACCAGAGGGCTGGCTATGGGTAGGTAACATGAGAGTGTTACAGGCTATGTAAATTTGTGGGAAGCATATATGAAACCTTTTCACTAATCTCTATCTCTTGGTCTCCTGAGCTCTCTTTCTTATTAAAAGTAGATGTATTCTATAAGCCATCACATAACATGCCACCACATAACCTTGAGGACATTATGCTGAGTGAAATTAGTCAGTCACAAAAGGAGAAATACTGCATAGGACCATTATTGTAAAAGATTAAGAAAAAGTACTCACACTAAAATGGGGGGTAAAAATTATTTGCTGGTTACTGGGATGTGGGGGTGGGATAAGGGGAGGGAAGGAAAGGTGGAGCACAGGGTAGGGAATAGACACAGGATAGTTTGGGTGCTGGGGTGGGGGGCAATACACAAGAAGGGGGAGGGGAATGGAAGAACAAGGCAGATGGGAGAACAGTTAAGCAGGTTTGCATGGGCTAAGTGGGACAGAGGTAAATAATGATGTATGCACAACCTTGGAACAACAGAGTTCTGGGATACAGGGATTGAAACATGGTTGGAATGGGTAAAAGGCAGGCAACAATGTTAAGATGCTTGGCTGTCTTTTGAATCTTGTTTTCCCTTGCATACCATTATAAAATAGACACTTGAAGGGGAGAGAAAGGAATAGGCAGAAATATCTACTTCTGGATTGAGTGCCCCGAACATAGATAACACCAAGGACAAGAGGAACTCCACTTAGGGCCAAGAACTCTGTTGTCACATCCCTTCCACAACCACCTTGGGAGCTCCTTGAATTGCAAGAGACCCCCAGACATTTCTCCATTCCATGTCTAACAAATACACTGTCTGTTTTAACAAATATGACAAGCCCACAATGCCCCAGAGACAACAGACAATTTTAGCTCATATGAAAAAAAGAGAGAATGGCTCGACCAAATGACCCAGACGCAGAGACAGAAAATGTTTCTGAGGAAGAAAATGTAATGAAACTAACTGAAAAAGAATTCAAAACAATGATAATTACATACCTTCAAAGGATCAAGAGAAAAATTCAGGAAAACAAAGAGAACAAAATAAGAACTTTAGAAGAATTCAGGAAAACATTATAAGGATATACAGACAAAATAAATGCAAGTTTTGATACAATATAAAACCCGCAATTAGAAATCCAGAAGATTAAACCAAGGTCTCAGAAATGGACAATACATCGAAAGGGCAAGGAGTAGATGCAAAGCAATAGAAGCTCTAGATAGTGAACTTGAAGAGAAATCTCTCAATACTAGTATGCTAGAAGAACAATCAGAAAAAAAGAATGAAAAAATCTGAAGAAAGCCTAAGAGTTATGTAGGACACCAAGAAGAAGAACACTTATGTGTGATCGGAATTCCAGAAAAGAAAGAGACAAACACAGAGAAAATTACCAAGATCAGAGCTATAGGCTGGATGGGATAAGGTTTCCCATGAAATTCTCATGGGGTAGCTCTTGCTACCCTTTAAGAATGAGCAGATACAGTCTCATGATGAAAAAAAAAAAATCTTCATCAAAACTTTCCTGGCCTTTTTCTAACCAATGCAGTTTTCAACTTTCTTAAAACTTCTTCATAGGAGAAGATTCCAAGATTATCCCTTTGGAATTCCTAAAAGCGGTTGCCACAATCTTCTGAGCTGACCTCTCTTGCCCTGAATTTAACTGGCCCACCAGAACCCCTCAGAAGCCACTGTTGAGATTGGACCTTTTTTGAAAGCACCCTAATGAGCTTAAGATGAGCGTATTACGGAGAGAACTTGCCTGCAGTCATTGACTGATGGTGAGGCATGTTTAAGCATGGTTTGCTTGGAATAACCCCATGTAAGCATGAACTGGAATCCTAGTAGCAATACTTTTTTGACTTTCCCTTATAGGAAGCCTTCTAGCTCCTCAGTAACTTTTAGGATTTGGTCAGTATGAAGTGGTCCCTCGGAATCTGCGCCTGCTTGGCTGAACTGCGTGTGTAAAGCTGAGACTAGACCTTGAACTCATGGAGACCCACTCAAAGTACAGATACAGTGGCCCCTACTCTGCCCTCTTTTTATTGCAAAGCTGGACATGGCTAGCCAAGAAAGGAGTTAAATTAAATGGCTAAGATTCAATTTTCCTCAACCTGTCATCTACTTCCAACATTTGTTATTGTCTCAGACCTTATAAATGGTCACAACACCAATTATGTTCCAAATATATCCTCTATGTCCCTCAGCTGTGTAGATCTAGATCAAATACAGTTCTGCCTCAAAGCACTTCCAAATGTGCCCTGCCTCTGTAATCTCTGAATAACCTGCAGAGATAACTGAAAGCCAAACGTGGAAATCTGTGCCATTTATGGGGCTATAAGTCTTGGATTGCCTTGAGATTTCTCTCTTCTTTAGTTTCATTGACTGTTGTCTCAGTGCTTATATCAAAGGCATTGGGGGAATGTGTTACAAAATACAAGGCTTGGAAGGGGACACCATGATCAACTGGCATAACATAGTTCACAAAGACAATATTCTACATCCTACTTTGATGACCAGCAACTGAGGTTTTAAAAGCTCATGAACAGCCATCTAAGGTGCAACTACTGGCCGCAGGAAAGAAGAGGGAAGAAAATCAAAGACATTCGAAAACATCGAGTCCAGTGAACTAATGCGCCACATGAACATCAGTCTCCATGACCCTGAGACCAGAAGAACTAGATGCACCTCGCTATCAATACAAACTGCTCTGAAAGGGATCACATTAGCAGGTCTTGGGTAGAATGGGAGAAAAATGTAAAACAAAATTCAAAATCTTAAAAAAGATCAGGATTACTGGTCAGCTAGAGACTGGTGAGACCCAGAGACTACGGCCCTTAGTCTCTCCTCAGGTCCCCAGCGGCTCAATTTTCAGCCCAACAATAGGCAGTTCTATAAGGGGAACGTTAGCACTAGAAACGTGCACACACTTTAGGGTAGTCAACCATTTGTGATCAAAAGGGCAGCATTAACCCAAGGACAAAGTTCAGAAGGGTTAGGAAAGAAGGAGGAATGGAAACAGGACACACAAGTGGTATAATAAATGAGGTTACAATGTGGGGGATTGCAACCAATGATAGAATACAAAACGTGCATGAACTATTGAATGGAAAACGGATTTGTTAACCTTCCTCCAATTCACAATAAAAACTTGAATATATATTTTATATTCTGATCTGTTAACCTTCCTCCAGTTCACAATAAATACTTGAATATATGTTTTATATTCTTTAACTGGACTGCTAGCTACAGTTTCAAACCCACCAGCTGCTGCACAGGAGAAAGATGAGGCTTTCTACGCCTGTAAAGATTTACAGCCTTAGAAACCCTAAACAGGGTCACTGTGACTCAGAACTGACTCAGTGGCACCTAACAACAACATATATGTACACAGATTTGGGGAAGATATATCCTGTCCAGATTTTCGGCCTATTTCGAGGCAGTTGTTTCAAAGAATCACCTTCCCTACCTGACCAGGTCCATCCCCAGTAAGGCTTCCGTCTCAGGGGCGGGTTCTCTGGTGTTGACGGCTTCATTGGCTATGCACACTCCATGTTCATTGGCTCCCATTTCTGCCCCCCAAAGCCAGGCAGGCCTGCTTATTATGATAGCGTGGGTCCGAGGAACTTGGTCGATGGAAATGTAAGTGCACTATAAAATGAAAACAGGAAAGAAAGAGCCATCACCTACCAGGTACCACTTCGTTTTCACCTTGGTATTTACAATGAACCATCACATCATTACAAAACCCAAAGAAAACAAAATGCCTTGGAGGAACACCAGCATGTAAAAGGGACCCCAGCAACTCAACTGCAAGTCCCAATGCAATTAATTGAAAGGTCTTCAAAGAAGGCTTCGGTCTTCCCACCCACTCAGTTATCAGTCTCTGCAGTTCAAGACAATCTATCCAGAATCCTCACATAGATGGCCATAGTTTTCTTGAAGCAGGTAGTCAGCTAACATTTACCCGAGCATTGTTCACACCATTGTATTTGGTCATTTCAATAGATACAGATAGTCAGCAGCACTTCAAATAAAGCGTTTCATTTCATTTTCAACAATCTGCTAGAAAAGTAATTTTCAACAATTTTTAAGCTAGAGTCCTATCTTAAAAAGAAACTTCATGCATAAGCACTGTAGAGTATGCACTGGACTGCTAACCACAAGGTCAGCAGTTCAAAGCCACCAGTCACTCCTTGGAAACCTTACACAGGGCCGCTATGATTCAGAACCAACTCAACAGCACTTATCAGCAACGCTGAAAGCAGATAAAAATAAAGGTGTTCTGTCTGAAAAACTGGGTCCCTAAGCACCTGCGATGATCCCTAGAACTCCCTAGAAGACAGTTTGCTCTAGTAATAGAAAAGGGGAAATGATAGTAGCCTTTTATCTTTAGCTATTCCTGTCTTGGATATTGTGCTTTCTTACCTGTCCCACATGATTTCCACTCTAAGCCCAGGAGGAAGGCAGCAGTAAGAACTCAGTGCCAGGCACATGTATCTCTAATTGCCGTCAGCATGGCAGTACATGCGATTATTTTGAGTATGTGAGTCTTATCTTTTCCAGGCTGCTCTGTCTTTACCTGGAAAATGAATACGCTTATCCAGATCAAACTATTTCTCTGAAAGCACTAAGAGGCTTCAAAAAGTTCACGGGAAAATTCCCTTATCTTTTTTATCCCATTTTTCCACCATCTTTTTGAATCCCCTTTGCGTGTTTAGCCTTTGAACCCTTCAGTCCAAGTCTTGGATAGACACACAACACAATAAAACTGGTCACAGACGTCCTGGCAAAGAGAGGTGGGTACAAGTGAGGTTGGGGGGAGGTAACTATATTCAGAGCCTTGTCCCCCCCACCACCCACCCCCACACATACATTGGACCCCTGAGAGACAATCCCTGGAGCACTTGGAAGATCTTAACACTAGATTATCCACAGGAGCCTCCAGACTCTGACATCCTACTACTGTAAACCAGAGACTCTTTGTATAAAGGGCTCAGTATGGAAATCAGGGCTCCAAATTCCACGGAGACCTTTAGCTCTCAAGGGAGAATTCTATGCACTGTAGCGGTCATTGGCATTTTAAATTGAGCAGCTGAAAGCTTGGAATCAATTGCATCCGTAGATCTTTCTTTGGTTCAACACCCAGCTATGTCAACTGAATGCAAACCAGAAAGATAATTCACGTAAGATTCCCATAATCTCTGAAGCCCAGGTAAGAGCTGAAATGTGCTCAGCATGCTCATTAATTTGTTAGGTGGCCTCTCCATCTTCACATTCCACACTAGGCTTTGTTGTAAACTGGGATGATTTTATTTCACTGGATAAATAATATTTGCAAACTAAAGCCAATTAAGCCCCAAGGTTGTCAGAAGTCCCTTGAATTTTATACGGCAAATTATTAGTAAAAATACTCTTGAAACACTTCTCTGCAATCAATTTCCTAAAGTTATTTACTTAAAAAAAATTTCTACAGGTAATTCTTACTTTTGCCTGTGTAAGTAATTTTTCCTAATAAATATGCTACGGTATCATCATAAAAATGTTTTAATTATGAAATGACAAATGGACATTTTCCAGTGATTTTTTTAAATGTAAAGGACTTAAAACAATGTTGTTGCTGTTGTTAAGTGCGGTCGAGTCAGTTCCAACCCATAGTGACCCAGTTCGGAGATGCAGGTGGATGCATTAAATTAAAAAAAAAAAAAAAAAATCAACCATCAAGTTGATTCCAACTCCTATGTAGGGTTTCTGAGAATGTAAACCTCTACTGTAGCAAACCGCCCCATTTTACTCCTGTGGAGCCACTGATGGGTTTGAACCACCAACTTTGTGGTTAGTAGTCAAGTGCTTATCTGAAAGCACCACCAGAGCTCCTTAGTATGTATTGTTGTTAAGTGCCATAGAGTCGAGTCAGTTCTGACTCATAGAGACCCAGTATCGTAGGAGCAACTGGTGAGTTTGAACCACCATCCTTGCAGTTCAAAGCGACCATATGGTCCAGTGCTTATCCTACAGCACCACATATTGTCATTGTTGTTGTTAAGTGCCATCAAGTCGGTTCCAACCCATAACGACTCTGTATAGGGTTTCCAAGGAGCAACTGGTGATTTTGAACCGCCAGCCTTGCAGTTCAAACAGATTTTGCAGTCCAGTGCATTAACCCACAGCACCACACCAGGACTCTGCACCACATGTTAGTAGCAGACAATTTGAGAAACATTTTTTCTTAGCTCCATGTCAATTAAAATACAAATTATTTAATATTGCAACTGATTAACACTTAGAATAAAGTCAGTATGGTATATTAAAAACAAAATTTCTTTCACAGCAAAAAGCTAGTATAGCCAAACCAATAAACAAACCAAGCTCGTCTCTGCTTTTCTGCATGTAATTAAGGTTTGTATCTTATAACTACATTCTCAGGGGAAAGGTGGTCCAGACATCGCCCACCATTTCCAAACCCCTGTGCCCATGGAGTGTCAGGAACAAAGTCTGTCTCACAAAGAATAATAAATAAGAGAGGAATTACAACTTCTTAAATACAGACATATTGTAAAGTAAAAGAATAAACAAAAGGAAGAAGAGGATAAGGAGGTAAGGAAGGGAAAAAGGAAGGGAGGAAGAAGCAAACTGAAGTTAGGAAATGGGTTTATTTATTTGTTCTCAAATTTATTTTTACACATTCATTTCAATTTCACCAATTATTTATAAAGCATTAATTACACACAAGGTATTTTGTGTGACGTGCTGCTAGCAGATAAATCCATGAAGATGCCCAGTTCCTGTGCTTCTGGTCTGCAAGGAAGGGGAACACACTCAGAAATATTGCTGTATCCACCTGGCACCCTCCAGTTTAGTGTCAGCCACTGAGGCCTGTACAAACATTATTTATCCAGTGATATAAAATCATGCTAGTGCACAAGATACCTACAGCATATTGCCTCCTCTCCCCATCTTGACCTCAGCCTTATCCCGCCTTCTTCTTCCCATTCTATTCATCCACTTGGAAAACGCTACATAACTGACTCATTTATTACACATACTACTTAGACATGCTATCTTACCAACTAGAATTAAACTGCATTACTGTTTAGTTACAGAGCTTCAAAAAGTTCTTAGAAAAATGGAATTCAAAGATAGTGGAATTTTCCATCCACTTTTTGAAGCCCCCTGGTAGATTCCCAAGTATGGTACATACTAGGCACTCAGTAAACCATTTTTGAAGGAAATAAAATGAAAGAAATGGATGAACAAGGGTCAAATGGTCAAAGAAAAAAGGGCACACATCCATGTTGCCAAGAGGATGGTACTTAAACTGATCTTAGAAAATGGGGCAGGCATTCAGGCACAGGGCTGTAAGAGCTCAATAAACACTGATGATAAAAATATTGACGATTAAATCAAAAAGACCATCTGGTCCATGTGGGAGTTATTCAAAATATATCCCGCCAACTTAACACTTTTCAGGCCAAATTCAGTATGATGAGGAAGGAACGGGATCCTCAAATGGCCAGATGGGCCAATTGGGCTGCAGCTAATCCCTGGACTGCAGGCTGCCATAGCCAGACCCCCCTCCAGGGCTACGGAACAGGGATGCCCCTAAGCCAGAGAGCATCCTTGCTGTGGACTGTAGAAGCCAGAGCCTAACAAGAGCCCTCTGAGAGTGCAATTCACAATGTGCCTTAAAACTGTTGTCCCTGGGTGGTACAAACGGTTGATGTGCTCAGCTGCCAACAGAAAGGTTTGTGGTATGTATGTGTCTGCTCAGAGGCACCTGGGAAGAAAGACCTGGTGATTTGCTTCTGAAAGGTCACAGCCAAAAAAACCCTGTGGAACAGTTCCACTCTGCACACCTGGGATTGCTGTGAGTGGGCTTCACTTGATGGCAACTGATTTTTCATTCAGTCTAGGGAAGGGGGTGGAAGAAGGAACATACCTGTCTTATATAAGAGGGTTATTTCTCATATCCCAGTTTTGGAGCAAACCTCACAAATAAGGAACATTTACACAAGATTCAGGTAGGTAAACTTTGTAAAGTTAGCCATCCACCACATAAACTCCGGAAGCAGTCATCTTTTAAAAAATAAAATTCATTAGCTTTCTCAATTACCTCCTTATTAATGAGGCAGAAAATAAATAGCAAGTGGAATTTGAGGTAGCGGGGAAGGTTTCACCTGGAAAAAAATCCAAAAAGCACCTGAAATTATCCTTCAGTATGACAAAAACATTTTAGCTCCCCAAATCAAGATTCCTAGCCAATTTCTGTTAGAAAAGAATAAGGAAATGTTCACCACCAAAAACGCTGCTCTATGCAGAGATGATTCTTGTCTAGGTTTCGGTGATTAAGCTGTCAAAGTAAGTTACAGAAAGAGATGAGCCCTGCAGCACTCCTTCCCTGCCTTAATAAAGGAAAATTTTCTGCATGGCTGACTGCTGGGTGCCCAAACCACGCAGCAATATAACAATGCCCGGAGTGGAGGAGGCAGACTTCTGAATGTCTGTCGGCACAGCCTAATGCAAATCACGGGGATTTTAAATCTATTGCCTGTCCTGAGTTCACTACTCTCTCAGGTGGTCCCTAAGGGACACCTGCCAGGTTGGAGGATGGAAAAGAGGAGGTGTGAAAAGGCCAGAGATGCAAAGGCAAA